TCTTCAGTCATTACATTCACAGGGCCATCACTTCCAGGACATCTCAGGACCAACTACAACAACGGGGGTTTCCGGCCCAAAATTAGCACATGAATTGGTTTGTGTGGTAGCCTTAATGGAAAAGCTGCTAAAAGAAGGCTCCGCTGTGACTGCATTTAACCACTGCTTATCCTCATCCCCATCCATCACGATCCCTCAACAGCAGGAGATTTTACAAAGTAACAATCGATATGCTGTGTTTTATGCTTTTCCACAGCCATAGAAACAATGACTCTAAAGAAAATGTTACCTGTTCATTTCGGACTGATTTAATATCGTGTTGATTAATTTCCTGTCACTTGCGCAGCTGTCGGATGTAGGATGATGAGTCTCAGCCTTAACAAAACATTAAAACTCAGCAAACCTGTGACAAATCTTAGAAAAGTGAACATCAAAACAAAGAAAGTAAAGATGCACTGGCAAAATGAAGGGCAGGGCAATTCAACATGACTTGTTACAGGCACAAACAGCTGGGCCAAAGTGTCAAAAACATTACTCCCCCAACACCAAACAGGAGGAGACACACATTGAAAGCCGAGACTGTCACACCCTAAAACCTCTTTTGAGATCAACATGTCAAAAACATGTGTTTAACTTATTTTACATCAAACTCCATGTCTTAGGGTATGATGGAAATATATTTACCTCACAGAAAGATGATCTTGCCTGTCTCTCGCCATCTTCACCTGAATTAATCCATCTTGATGCCATCATTCAACTTCACTCAAAATCCTGCTGTTTGTGCACGCCCCCACATCGAAAAATAAATCTCCACTCAGGACACATGAAAATATAAAGTTCTTCTTTATCCAAATTTAAACTGCCGTGTTTGCTTGACATCTCAGTCTATGACCTGTTTTAAAGATGGAAACAGAAAAAGAATTGTTATTACACCCCTGGGTTACAACATTTGGGTTTTTACAGACAAATCAAGAAGTAACTGCTTATATGTGGCGTCTCAAATTATTTGAAACCCTTCCAAGCCACATGAATCAATAATACAATTGTTGGAGGCACGTAACAGATGCCCATCCATGCTTAATCTCTCTGACATTATGCAACATGTCTTTTAGTAAGGCTAATTTCCTCTTGGGGTTTTTGAAAGTTACATTAACAAATCATCAGGATGTACTGCAGTCCAAACAATAAAAATCAACAAAGGCACATTTTTTCACAAAAAAGTATATTCAAATGTAACACAAATAGTATTACGTAACACAAAAATGCACAAACACAGATATAAAACATCAGAACATTTCAATTAAATTTATTTCATTTAGTTGATTGTGGCAATAATCTTCTTTATTGGTTGGTTGGACATTTGATCCATTAAAACAAAATTATCAGTGTAGTATCGGTGTTACCTATACCTCTGAATGACACTGTTCTTGTGTTTGTTTATGTCCAAAAAAGAAAAACATTAGTTTCTGTAATGGAGGAGCAGAGAAACCAGTCCATATCAACATATTTAGATTTTTTCAAAAACAAAACTCACTTGAAACAATTACCCATTTATTTCTTACAGTTAGTATTGATCAAGTAATTGACTAATTAAAGCATCCCTACACTCATCAATACATAGAACCAAGCCCTTAAATTCAAACATACAAAGGTCAGAACAGATCTGTAAATACTGACGTCACAAAAACACGAGACAGAAAGAAGAGTTACAAATAAGAAACCAAAATCCTAGTTCTAATCTAGGGCTATACCTGGTAATGATGACCAAATATAACACGACAACATGTAATAGTTTTCACTGACAATGTTAATTGTTATTTCAGTTATCATAAAAAGGGAAAACTAAATGTAAACAACAGCAGTACGCGTAGTAATATCAGATAAGTAGATACGCCCTGTTGGATAGACGAGATGTCATCCCCGTTGTTGGACAGCATCACAACTTAAAGAACATTCGTCACATTAAAAATGTTCTATACAACAAAATAAACAAACAAACAGGCGTATTAAATCATGTCATCGTCGTTCTGTTGACTTGGTAACGACAGTTGGTGGTTGTTGTCACTGGCTTGAACAACGTCGTGCAGCGTCAACACTTGCATTATGAATGATCAGCCAACAAGTGGACTCCAGCGAGGAGGTACAGCCAATAAATGCTCGTCATATTTAAAATTAGGTCCTCGCACACCGACAGAAACGAACTTATAACCAACACGTCACTTAGAACTGGGCGTGCGGTTCGGATTTTAACGACAAAGTCCCCTTTTTTACACATGGCGTGACTTTAAATGCCTCTCATTCGGGATCGATGGACCGGGGAGGCACAAACAGAGCGTGTTGTCGAGCTGTTGTTCTCCGTTCAACAAAAAAGCTTCTCCTTTGTTTCTCAGCACAAAGCATCACAGCCCGAATAGTTATTCAAGTAACTAAGTAACTATCCGTATTAAAATATGCAGTGAAGCCCGGCGAAGTGGTTTGTAAATGAAACATAAGGAAAGAGTAAAGCAACAGGCTGTTACGGCGTGGTTAGCACCGATGCTAACGCCTAGAGTTTAAACAAAGTTACCTGTGGAGTTGAGCGGCTTCATCGTAGGCAGGCAACAGCGGCTATGGCTGTCCCTAAAAGTTAGTCCAGTGAGTGAAAGCATATGTCGGCAGCTTCAGCACCGTCGGGAGTCATAATTTAATACATCTAAAGGTCCCGCAGCTTCCCACTGGTTATAACAACGGCTCCTGGGGTTGATGCATGGTGCAGTTTGATGCCTGGAATTTTTTTGCTTCCAGTGTTCCCCACTCTCTGGGAGTCTACCTTCGGAAAACATATATCTCTCAGCCAATCGGATGCGGCGTTGTGCGGCGTTGTACTAGCGCAGACCAATCAGCTACGCGCTTCCAAACACTGAAGCTGCTCTGAAAAGGTGGCGTTGTTTAACCGTACCAACCGAGTTCAGCGTCAGTCCTCAGGGGGTCATTGTGACCATTGTTGTCCAAAACGTGGTACGCGGCCCAAGGATAGGGCTGAGCTACATTGTTAAATTACTATAAAAATAAACAATTCATGTCTAACTTCCAACAAGATTCAAAGAATGTATTCACTTAAAATATATAAATGGAGAAAAAAACTATTTATTTTATTGCATAAGGTGTGTTATGTACAGTATTTTTGTGTGCAAATTTGAATCTGTACAAAGTGTCATTTGTAAGTTGTTTCATGCAATGTTGTGTCAAAGATCAAAAAACATTCCAACAGAAGTGATAGGGAGTATTTATATGGCTCTGTGCTAATATCATAATGAAGATATATCATAAAAATATTTTTATACAGTAATTCTATTAGGAATATATCCATGAAACCTCTAGTAAAGTACTGCATATGAGTGTGTCAGAGCAATAGTTCTAACTCAACCAAAATATTTTCATGATTTAGAGAAGGGCAAAAATGTGAGGACAATTTGGTAAATTTATGTCAAGGCAAGATGAGCTTAAACCAGTTGTTCATGTTGCGCCTTAACTATATTAGGCACTGTTTATCTCTATGAAAGTCTCATGTCCAGAATATATTTTTGTTGTTGATGTACCATAATTACAGGAGCTAACCCCCATTCACTCTTAAATGTGGTAACGTGACTATCATGTATTATTATTTATTATTACTGTTGCATTTTCAAGAAATGATCTGTATCAGTTTCTGGTTTTCAGCTTTTATTATTGGGAACTTGTAACAAAAAAAACAGTTTTGTTTTGTTCTGTGGTCATAAGGAACAAAACATTTTTATTTCCATTTCCATTATTTGTTTTCTTCAGTGTTTGGTAACGTGATCAGGGCGTGTCCACGGTTTTGTCAACGGTCCCCAAGCTTCAGACCTGTTAAGTCTGGGAAGGTCTGACTTTAGAACAGCTTTCCCATGAGAAAAGTAGAAATAAAAGGAAACACCAGCTGAGTTTTTTCTTAAGGTCAGGTTCTGCACAAAACTACCCAGGTTAGTTTCCCAAATCACATAACAAGGCTGGGCCACAGGTCACATGGCTTGGTTCAAAGTGAGGTCGAGTAGTGCTGGCATGTGGATGGCACTATTGAGGAATGTGAGTTGACACATACCACATGGGAAATAATCTGTGCTCTCATCGTGCTGTCATTATACTCCGTAAGAAGATAGTTTGCATTAACGGACACGCCTTCACTACACTCTCAGTCTGAGGCACATTTTAAGCAACGGCCTTAAATAAATGCTCCAATTCTCAGGGCCCCTGACAAATGTTCCCTTTATTCCTGTCCAACATAAGGGACCACCTGTTCTTGGGATTGGCAGCTTTTTGTTACAGAGGTCAGTCCAGGGAGGAGACTTTCACAAAACTGTCCTGTCCAGCCAGTTCTCACACTGGCTCTACTGTGGTTATAAAACTGGAGAAATAAAAGGGTGTATTAAACAACTAGACAAGATTAAAAAAATAAAACTTAAACGTTTTATGTCACTTTTGTTGGTACAAAACTACATGGTCATTAGCTACAATTACCCAGTGTGCACCAACATATTAACTTGATACATTTCTACCAAATAATTAACAATACAGACCTTTTAGGCCTCATTACTTTTTTTTTTACCTCATTACTTCAAAGTAATTCTTTAGTTTTCATTAGCTCCAGTAGACATGGAATTCTTTCACTACTTTATCAGGCACAATGTTGATTCTTTAATCTTTCGAATTTTAATCAGGGCATTGTTTGTGAAGCATTTTCTTTCCAAAGGTCAAAGAGAAGTCACTGTAGTAATCACAGGATTTCAGGGCTGTTTTTTTTTTTCATTTGATTCGGTTAATTCTGCTCAGCACACACTAAACCATGGCAAAAGTGTACTGCATTAACTACATTACTCAGCATTGTTAACTTTAAACAAAAAGACTACATTATTATTGAAAACATCTTAACAGACAGAGTACATCATGTAAACCTATTTCAACTGTTTTAGAAGCAATGGGTATCCAACATTAATAATACAAACCAATGTTTAAAAATACTTTATTCAATGTTAAGCCTCCGGTACCAACAACATGAAGAGGTAGTTAGTGTCATGTGATCTAACTTGTTTTCCTGAGGGTTCAAACAGACAGCAAGTGGAAAAAGTAGCCCACGTCACATCTGACAAGAAACAATCAGAAAATCTTTGCAGCTAAAAAAAATTCCCTTTAATATAAAAAAGACGCTAAGCTGAAGGTCCTTCCATCAGCATGACACACATTGACCCTAAAAATCCAGTACACAATCCTTGTTTTTAATTGTTACCAAAGAAACACAACATTTATTATTGGAAATGACAAATAACAGTATTACAGGAAGAATCCTATTGTCAAAGGCAGTAAACATTAACTGGAATCATTTCTTTGCTCATTTCAGGGTAGAAAAAAAATCCTAAATGTGTTTAAGGTCAGATGTAACAATAGTAGATGTTCTGTAAGTGCATGGAATCTCGAGCTACATGACCAGGCTGGATGTGAGAAGACATCTACAGTATGCAACAGTCCCCATTTTATTTTGCTTTCCTTCCTTTATATCATATATTTCTTCTTGCCGGTTTCACTGATCACACAGATATGCTGCAGAGCGAAGGTAAGAACAGTCAGAGTAGAAAACAAAAAAACATTCCACAATAAAGGTAGAGCACGTAAACGAACGACGAAAGCTAGGGAGTGACATCATACAA